GTATTTTATAATTCTTTGTCAAAGGATTTTTATGTATTTTTGCTGAAGTGTTTTATTATGTGATTCCATGTTAATAGGTGTTGCTTGCATAGTTATTTTTACCTTGATTTATGGGTGTTTTAATGTATTGTAATAATTATTGATGTATAATATGAGGTTAAATTTGTTTGTATTTTTCTTGGCCCTGTAAACACTGCAATTGACATTGTTCAGTCTTAAAAGTATAATTCTGATGCACCAGAATTGGGTTGTTATTGGATTTGTGTTTTATGTCAAAAGTAAGGTTGGACCAAAGGTAAGGAAAGGCAGAGATATGATGTAGCTATAACTCTTTGTAAATTTAGAAACTCAATATATCTTTATGTAGATATATTCAATTAATTATTCCAAATATTGATGTAGGTTGTCTGTGTTGAGTTTCATGTTCAACATAAACAGGATGTAGCCAGCAGTGAACTACACTAATACTAGTATTATAGTATTGGTAATACTAGTATTAATGTTTCTGTCTTTGTTTGAGGCCAGTCTACTGGTCTTTAATTAATTTTTTCATGATGTCTGGCATGCTGTACATGTGCAAAAATCTATGCAAATTCTTGTTTCCTTTTTATTAATGATAAGACTAGATTCTTGTCGTGTGTGATATGGCATTCTTTGAACCCCTGTCAGACTTAAACTTGATTATGGTTCCCACCAAAATTAGTGCTTAATTAGGACCATCTTGTGATTCTAATATTTACAAATTGTAATATAGACAGAGCAGTTGGCCAACTTTTAATAGATGTTACTTGTTTTTCTTGTAAGTAAAGTGTTTTCTTTACTTCAAAGTTAAACAGTGGTGTCTTTCTTCTTTTAATTAAGTTTGATTTATCCTAAAAACAATAATAATAAAAAAATACTGAAAGATTAAATAGAAGAGTTGTAAAATTAATATTTGTGAATGAATTTAGATATATAATGTTTTTAATAAGTTAGTTAGAATATTTTATTCATGGTGACAGCAGATTAAATGTATGTAATGACACCATTTTATTTTTAATACATTACTACAGTTATCCATAATTTAACTTGTGTTTTGGTTCGGTGACATAGTGTGAAGGTAATAAATTTCAGCATTGTTTACTATGTTTACAATAAACAGTGGGTTCAGATTTACCAAACAATTAACTTTATTCAATTGAGTATTCTAACCATTTTTGTTTTTGGAACTTATAAACAGTTAAATCTAAAAAGTGGTATAGCAGACATTTTTTTCCTGTTACACAGTGTTGCTTAGTCAGGAAAGCTAGGTAGCAGATATTCCACAGCTAAGTAATTTATTCTAATTTAACTCGGAAAGTAAGATAGCAATGCAGTTTTACTCCAAAGTAATTCATTGTAGTACTGGTATTTTGGGAATGTGATATGGCAAACAGTATATTGCAGATAAGTGTTTCATCTTAGCGCTGTTTATCTAAGAAAGAGACATTGTTTTATGCATAAACTAGGACATACATGTCTTAACGGGTTACTCAGAATATGTCATTCACGATGATACCATATTAATCTATGAACTTTTTAAAAAAAAAAACATTTCTTACTCTGTTATCTAAAGAGTCTTAGCATAGTATATTACCTTTTTTGATATTCAAAATTTATTACCAGACATTTTACTATC